TGATCAAAGAAAAGGCAGTTCTATATTATATCTAGATCCTTTTATATTCTGCAATATCACCAAGGATGAATTTTTCAGTAATAAAGCAATTCAATGGCAGCAACACAAAAAGAGCAAAATAGCAGGTGAGTCTTACACGTGGGAAATTTGAGCTTAGGCAGCTCATTGATAACATTTCTCTTTTTCAGAAGTTTCAAGCTTCTAAAACAATCATTCTTAACTGTAGAGTCTTATAACCAAAGTTAACAAAAATAAAATTATTTTTAAACATCCCATTAAATGTCTCATAATTTGAGAAATGAAGCTGGACCCTGTGATTATAAGCAGGAGAAGAGTATGTATGTACGCATGCATGGATGCATAAAAGCAACACAGAGTAAAGGGCTTTGGCATCGTTATAAAAGCGCCTATTGAAAAACGAGTAAGAAGAAATGGGTGGAAAATCAATAAGGTGTCAGCAGAAGTCATCTCACAACACAGCACCCACACCCTGCTCAGGCCGCAGGACGTGTACTACTGGGGTGCAGTAGCTATGAGCGTTCAGGATGGCTAGGCTTACAGATGAATTTAAACTCCCTCCATGTGGCTGCACAGAGAGAGCAAACAGCCTGCAGTGGGGGGGGGGGGGCATGAGGATGCAGAAGGTGAAGGAAAGCAGAGGGGGCTCCCTTCAAGCACATTCTCACCATCATGTCACATGTCCCAGGGCAACATGCTACCAGCGACACAGAAGGAAAAACAAAATGAATTAGGTTTTGTCTCACACACTACAGAGACATCAGAGCTGATTGTAGTGATACATTCTGACTGTAAACAGGTGCATTTCGATTGTACACACAATACATGGACGTGAGGAGGCTGCACATGGAAGGAAATATAGATTTAAAAGTACTTCTTCAACTTATATAGATGTACAATGTATACAGATGGACAAGGATACCACAAGATAAACATGGATGCCAAGCAGACATACAAAGGCACTTTACAGTTTAAAGTTCTATTCCTGTACTACACAAAATTGAGTTAAATCAGCCAGAAGCACACAACCATGCTTTTGAGCAATCAAAGTTCTCTGGCTGTGGGTTGTTTAGAATCACTATTGAGAGCTTATCTGTACACCAGATGTTCAATGATCAACCAGTTATAAACGATTTTCAGTCAACCAGAATACTGTTTTTTTTTCATAACTGAACATGATTTTTTTTGGCCAAGAAACTACTGTGTTGATTTTTTCGCAATTTTCACCTTTTCCTGCCAAAGAATTTGAAAATCCATTATAAGACCAAAATGTTGTTAGAAATTTGTTGGAGACTATACAACATATGGGGGTGGTTTTATAAAACCAAAAACCTGTAAAATATACAAAAGATGCATATTTGTGAATTTGTCTGTGAACCAGACATCAGATGACTGTTTTGTTAGCTTATAATAATACATTTATAAAACTACTGCATACACACAATGTTCACCTTTCCTACCAGACCTAATAAAGGTCCAGTACAGGATTGAAATGTTGACTTTAAAATAAATATATTGGTGCACATTCTGTGGAAGAATGTGTCTGTATGTACAGAGAGATTTTTAGTAATAAAGACAAAGTGTGATGAAGAAGCTAAGACATATGTGAAAGAAATGTGGATAATTAAATTTGTGTTTGGCCAACACTGAGACAAACATACAGTTTACTCAAACTCATACTGTACATTACCATGAAAATGAGTGTACTAATGTTTATTTATATATATATATATATATATATATAAATGGATTTTCAGGGGAAAAAACATTCAGGTGAGATTTCGTTTGTGACACATTTGGACTCCAGAAGAAAACTAGTCAATTAATGTTAGCCTAAAATCATAAACTTGCCCAAAGCGATTACAACGTGAGATGGGGGCATTTTCACAGGTAATTGGTTCGTGGAACAGGGTGCTGCTAATGGTATGTCTTTCAGCAGTATTTTTGTTATTGATTGAGGAGCAGTCGAGTCTCAGAAGCTCTTCACTCCTCCATCACTCTCCCATCCTTTTTAATCAGGAAAATTAAAGCACTGACTGTCTCACAGGTTTTTACGTTCAAATAAAGGTGAAATAAATTGCATCACTTCCAGAAAAGCAGCTTTTGTCTCTTCTCAGCTCACAGAAACTGACCTTCTATTTCAAGTAGTACAAAAACAAATTATTTTACCATTGGTGCTAATCAACTTTAAAGTAAATAAGCTTTGTATAAACATTTGTACAATGTATTTCCAAAGTCCACGCTCAAATCAGGAATGCATCAATACCACTGTGTAAAAATATGTTTATGGTGGCCTCTGGGATCCAGATCAAAGTGGATTTCCTTTGTTCTTTTTGTATATCAGACTTGGTAGCACATTTTGGTAACATGTGTGGTGAACCCTAGATTATGTTACCTTCCAAGAAATTTCATTTATCACATTGTTTCAAGACCACCTTGAGATGAACAGTACTAATATGTACCAGGTATGGACACATACGTAAAAAGTACTAAACTGCCAGACATGTTCAGGAAGACAGACTTCCAGTTACTTTAAGTAAATATAATGAAGTAGAGCTTCAACACTGTAGGAAGATACTGCTCTTGTGACAAAAGCCATTTGGAAGGAAGGTCCCTGTGTAGCGCATTTCCCAATGGTGGTGTATTGATCAAACACCTCAGCAGTTACATCTTGTCAGAATAATGTGGCAGTTCTGTACACCTCAGAGAGAATGGGGATTTCCAATTGATTGTGTAAGATACAGTATCCGGGAGTTCAGCAGAATTTCAAATGGATTAAAGCAGGAATTTACCTAAATACACCCATCAGAAGAAGTGTGGATTGAGATAAGACACACGTACAGTACACAGAGCGGACCTCAGGGCAGAGCAGCTGCGTGCATGTTATCTGAGGCATGACGCACCCTGCCAGGGGACTTCTCATGTAGAGGAATTATGGGAAAAACTGCAGCAGCTGGCGCACAGCGAGGAGCGCAGCGTGCATAACACAAGGGGACAAGCGAACATTAGCTCTGTCCCACGATTTGTCTGTGAGAAGTATCTAGTGTCAAAAAACTACTGACATTTTTATATAAGGGTTGTCATTCGATACTGTTGTGTAACTTAAGTACAGGGGAATGTAGCAAAAATGTCTTTTCTTTGACTTGTACTGCAGTGTGAGTGTGTGTGTGTGCACGTGTATATATATATACAGTATATACTGCAGTACAGTATTTAGTGGTATACATTCATTTAGAGATCTTCACAGTGCGGCCTGATAATGCTGGTCAAGAGCTCTACTCCTGAAACAACATGTAACTTCCAGTACAGGGTAGAACGTGGGCAATACGACAATAGCGGAAATAAATCTTTACAGCATGCAAAGGGAGGCCCACAGGACTGTTCCTTGCCCTTCGTGCAAAAAGGCCGTCTCCCAGTTCAGATAATTACATGTAACGCTTCGCAGTGCTATCAGTGCCGTTTGCAGTGTCACAGAGCCGTGCGGCGCCGTACTGCTGCACCAGCAGTTTTATTCTGTTTCTGTTTCCCTTCACCGTCTCCGCTTTACACATCAGTGCGTAAAACTGTTAGAGCGAATCTATGTGTAATTTACAATCCACACGTGACATCATAAAGGCTATGCACATTTCAGTGAGCACAACAAGGCTATTAATATTATCTGTCTTATTGGAAGTCTTTTGAGCATAAATTTCTTTGGTCATGTGACTATCTGATCATATCATATTCTTAATTTATAAATGAAAACAAAAGCCCAGGTCATTTCTGTAGCAGGATAAAATAAGTCCTGTTTCATCATAGGTGGGGTTTCACGTAAATATATTACAGTCAAGACCAATTCAGTGTATTTGCTTAGAGAGACTGACATCAATAAAGTGAAGCATACAAAACTGGCTTCACTTCGACGGCCTCTGTGACAGCAGCTCATTTATTAGGTGCTGAATTATTCATACGGCACTTTTCCCTACTTGTGTCGCCGGTTAATCCACTACACTACTGCACAGACTGAGAAAGAAGTAAATTTTATTTGCTTTATTTTTTATTTGCTTTGTTTTACAACAAAATCACCCAAATAAATGAAAATTCTATTCGATCAATAAGTTTAAATAAATAACTGCAAAAACAGTATCAAATGGACTCACTCGTCTTCATTCTTTCTTTTGATGTTTTTTGAAGCACCAAATCCAGTTGATACTGAGAAGCCACCTTGATTTTGAAAGGCCAACATGAAAAAACATGGGCTTAGTTTCCAATTCTGCATCCAGTGAACCAGTTTGCTGCAGCACTGCAGACATACAAATTAATAAAGAAACCACTGTGCACGGCACTGGGTCAGTTATCTTTCCTCAGAGACCAAAGCTGTACAGTCAGGGGGCAAGTGTTCCCTAGGTGCCTTTAGTAAATGTACATGATTATCACTGTAAACATGACAACTTGATTTTTATTTCATTCAGATGTAGTTACCAATTACTGTTTTCTACATAAATGCATTGGTATTCACCATCTCAAACCAAGCTTATATGCTAATACGCAGACTAGAGCAGCATGAAATGGATCAATCTTGTTTTATATACAGTATAAGCCTATTTACAGCTGTGCAGCATGTCCAGTACCCAATCAATTATTTCATTTGGACAGAAAATGCTGGAGTCTGGCTTAAGGAAAGGCTCTGAACTGCAGCGTTAGATAGGATGGCAAAAACTTTGCTGCAGAAAAATGGGCAGAAAAAAACAAAAGCATTCATTGACCTTTCCCCATAAATTGATTATAAAGCATAGGATAATGTACTTCGTCATGGAGATTCGATTATCTGCAATAGGAAGCTTGCTTATCTCCAAGATATGAATTCATAGGGGCCAGGAGGAATCCTCTGACTTGCAGCCTTACTAAGGGTCATTGTGGTATTACTAATTTGTCCTTGACTGGACAGGGATATCTCTGGGAGAGACCAGTATCAGTAGCAAGTTTTGAGCTGGGCTACTTACTTGTTTTGGTGCTTGGATCCCTGCAGGTGTGCGTGATACTGTGCCACGGAGTTAAGCGTGACACTACAAATGTCACAGGTATAGCTGCGTTTCAGACCTGGGAAAATAAAACACAATGTTCATACTGGATTATTCCCATTATAGGTGTTAACATCTTTCAGAAGAGGCCGACACTTAAAGGGTTGGGACCCGATAAAATACGAACAGTGAGAATGAATTATAAATTGTTTTTCATAAAATAAAAACTGGACACATTGAGTGAGTCATATATGTGAAACAGTTTCTGTTTTGGGTCTTTCTGCAGCTTGTGATAAAATGCAAAGATAAAGGATGCACCACGCAGCTTTTGTGGAGCCTGGCATTTGGATCTCCTGCCAAACTTAGGAAGAAAAGCTTTGAGGGTTGGGTACACCCTTTGCTGGCCTCATTGTGATCCTGTTGAAGTGATTCTTGCAAAGGTGAGGCACTGTGATTTAAAAAAACAGACCATCAACACCAGCCACCTGAAGTTCTTTCCAGGACCTGCTTTGCATGAGGTCACAGATGGACAGAACTTTATGTAATCTCAGAAAAGTGACATTCTGCATTACTTCAGCTGTGCAGGCTTCGCACAAACAGAACTGTGTCAAAACCTCAAGCCTGGAAGTGTGAGGCTATAGCAGAACCCTCAAGCCACTTTGGACATCACGAGCATTTCTGTCCAGAACGAACTGCTACACTCTATCTGGGTGAGTATTTTTTTCATTATGGCTTCAGTGGCATTGTAGACCGATGGAGCATGTTTTTTGCTCCATTAAAGTTCTCTACAACCTAGCAGTCTGTTATTCAAGGAGACTGGGAGGAACAGAACACCAGGCGGGACACTTATGATCATCTCCCTTAGCTGCAAACAATAAATCTCATGCAAATGATTTCCATAACAGACGCATATGTGATGGGGTTGGACAAATTAATAGAAGGATCACATGAAAGAGGACTTTGAAGTGACTAAATCACAGTGACAGATGCATTGACAAAGACGAGTCATATTAAGTTGGATGCCAATTTGTGGTATGTGTCACCTATAAAAGAGGTCTGCCAGTCAACACTTTGATATGCAAGCTTTCAAAGGGCTACCAGGGTTCCAGTGAAGCCGAAGAGTCGGTGCCCAAATTACTGGTGCATCAGTCACAAATCTGCAAGAAAATCTAGCGTCAAGAAAAGCATTGGCAAAGAGGCCAGAAGTCACAAGTTGAAGTTCACTGACATTGACTTACATTAGGAGAAAGACAAAGCCTGCTTTCGGTCGTCTACTGGCAACCATCTTGTAGAGTTAATGATTGCTCTTCATGAATTGATTACAGCCAAAGAACATGAGGCCATTCTACAGGACCAGACGCACCATATAGTACAAACACTGTTTCCTCACAATGCTCTCATATTTCAAGATAATTCTGCCCCCACACACAATGCTAAACAAATTCAAGTGGTTTCATGAAAACCAGAGAGAAGTTACGAGTCTTCCTTGACCTTCCCAGTTCGCAGTTCTAAACAGCACCAAAGCTCTATGGAAAATTCTGGAAAAATACTGTAGCTCTGTAGACTGTGTTCTAAAAGCAAAGGATGGCCTTAATCCTTAATAGGTCCTTGATATGAATACATGATTATTTGTTTCTATTATCGTGTCCAGTCACATATTTATAATAATATAGTTATGATCACAGAAATCAATACTTAAAATGCAGTGCCTTTTCAATTGCATAGTTTCAGTTGGGAATGTTTAATGCAGCAAAAGAGATTTATTTAATGAAAAACAATGAATTTAAAGTGCTGGAGGTAACTGCCCATGAAATTCAAATTCCCTACTTGTCATTTTGCCACACAATAATTGACATTATGCAAACACAAATAAATAAAACTTCTCCCCATCCCTTAGTTTTGTTCTATTTGCTGATTGTGGCAAAAAAATACTACTGGTTAAAGACAAATTTAAGCCTTCAAAAGCAATGCAATGTGCAATAAGATGTCTTTCACAGGATATAAAAGGCCAACTAAAATAATTGTAAAACCAATAACAAACCGATTGTCCCCTCCAAAAAAATATTGGAACAGAAAGAAAGATTCCAGATTCACAGCTTTTGCTCACATTGTAGCAACATTTTGTTTTTAAAATCACCACTAAAAGCCCATTCTCACCTTGTCTGTCACCATAGAGAAAAGCATGATAGACAGATGAAGGATTTCATAATGCTTAAAATAATTTTCAGAGGTGCTGCAAAAACTTCTGCTTTTAAAAATTACAAGCAAGCTGAGAAACAAATTAATGACTCATGACCCGGGGGTTGCTGGATTTCACTAAATATTTAGCCATGAGAACAGACATTCCAATTCTAATTTACATTGATTTACTCAGTCACATTCAGTTCTCTCATAATTACATTTAACATTCCTCCATTAAATCAATTCAAATATTATTTATATACAAGTAACCATTTCTGTCTGGTGAAACAGGAATTCAATATGCAGTAGAAATACCAAGCATCCTGAACTGATATTGAGGGTAAGTCATGTTTATCAAATAAATCATTCAGTACTCTGTAGAATACACTAGCAAAAACCAGGAATTTGCCAAGGGGATAGTATAGCAAAATAAATAAATCAATAAATCATATTAAACATTCTGAAGTGACCCAGCAGAATGCAAACTATGTAAATCTAATACTGGGACCAGAGCAACGTGCAGCTAAATGAACGTAAAATGTGTGGCATTGATTCAGTTCGATTTCATTTTATTCAATCCAGTTCAAATGAATACAATGTAACCCCCCAGAGTATTTAACAACCTCTAGCATCAACATCACACAATCAGCTTCCTACAAAAACACCGATACACAGAAACATGCCATAAGAGGACAGAAAAAAACATAAATCCACACAAAGATAAGACAAGAAACAAAGCAATCATGACAATTTGCATATTCCATTTTTGGCATTAAGTTATAAAAGCTGGAATAATTTTCAATTTTATATCGTAATGGGGTAGAATGGTGGTTCTGAGGCTAGGGCTGTGTGCCAGCAACTGGAAGGTTGCTGGTTCAAATCCTGTGAATGCCCAGAGTGATCCTATTCTGTTGAGCCCTTAACCTGCAATTGCTTCATTTGGGGCAGGATGTTAATCTACATCCAGCCCTGTAGGCAGGTTCTCCAATTTACAGGGAATAACCTGGGGGTTGGTGGCAGGACTGGAACTCCAGACACTGGAAAAAACCTCACACTGGTCCATTCGGACTGGTGTGGTGCTGAGGTGTCACCTGCCGCATGGCTGCACTCAGGTTCTCATCCCTGAGGTGGTTTGTTTTGTGGTGCGTGTGGCAACACACTGTAATCACTGCCTGCTCCTTATCCTCTATCATAATGTATTCTAAATACAAGTCAGATTACATCGACGGTAACGTTCCCCAGTTCAGTTTTACTTCATATCACTGACTGATTGGGCTATGATATTAAATCCAATCAACAGCATGTTGAAATTCCCCAGATTCCACCAAGACGCTTGTGTTGTGCACAAATAAACCTTTAGCCTCAGACACTGTTACTAAAGAGTTAACAGGTCAATTACACTGACAGGCGAAAATAGCTTCCGATACGCTACTGTGTCTATATGAGCAGGACGAGAGGCTAGAGAAAGGACACACCAAACTAAATCTTCTGAATATACAGTATCTGTCCAATTAATTCAAATGATAAATCAAGAAAGATGCAATTTGTCAATAGCTTTGACTGACAGGCTGAAGGGTTATAATCATGCAGTGCAATCATATAATTTCTCATTATCTCATCATGCATTTTCATCCTGTGAAGCTGAAATGGACAGCTGAAGATGCATTGATGAGTGGTAAGGCATTGCAGCATTCTGGACGTGAGACGAACACCACTGGCCTCTACTGTAAATCTATATTGGATCACGAGTTACCATATCTTATTCCAGTGCTCTATCTTCTCGATACAAGAATATCTCCTGGGCTAACAGATCCATCATAATTAACATCATGTAATTAATGAGGTATTTCCCTAGGCTCTAGAGGGACAATTTCTGGCAAGATTTTCAAGTTGCATAGCAGTCTGCAGCCTCAGTTTCTGCACTGTTAACAAGTTCTACTGCAATAAGACCCAAAGAGGCACCGTGAATAAATAAAGGTCTTTCAGTTACTAGAGGCAAGGGGGGGGGGGGTTGGGAGGTAGGCTTATCAAAGCTTATGAGGGTCAAGGCACATGCACTGTTTTGAGATATGGTGAGCTGAGGTTTGAGGTACAGTATCTGGGTGTGTGAAGATAACTGGTAGCTCTTGCTTTGAATATCACTCAAAAACAGAAGACTGGCCGCATATGAATCACCAGAGTTCCCAGTTAAAAAGCCCACTGCCTTTCTTCCCTCTTTATAAACGACTGGGGATTGCGTCATGTGGGATCTCCATTACTGACATTACGTGGGATTGCAGATGCTAAGGTAGCATCTTATTTTAGTCAACATGGCTAAAAGCTACATTTTTAGAAGAGTTCGAGTCTGACCATGATCGGCATTTCTGTCACTGACTGCGATAAGCCTAATATTATCACTTCCATTCATTTCACACAACACGTAAAAATCCTCGATTGACTTCAGTCTATAAAAGATTAACAACTGTGCGACAGTAAAACAATTTTAAATGTGCATTATCAGCCTTTTCAAAGGGAGAAAATACCTTGGTGAGTGAGTGCATAAATTTCACAGCACTAACATTCCAGCGAAGCCGGTTACACTTCAGAGTAGCACTGATGACTAGTTTCCATCAGAAATCGTTCGAAAGTCAGGAAAATCTACTTATACTCTACAAAACTCTCAGAGGAACTGCTGACTTTTTAATAGACCCTAAATGAAAGAATAAGCAGAACCTAAGGTGATATAATTAAGTTAAGGTTCTTCCTCGGAAAAAAAGCTTTTTATTGCGGAAATGGGTGGTTATATAGCAAAGCAAACAGCCTAGTCATTTTATACATGAGTGAACAGAATACCTCAGGGAGACATATACATACTAAACAATTGGGGTGGAATAGATGCAGGAATAATCAGAAGCTGGATCATCAGTCACCACTAAACCCTAAATCCTAAGGCCTGTTCCCTATGCAATCGTGCGACTTTAGTCCACTCTGGAGTTCCTTCAGAATACCCAGACATCTCCCAGGCTTATAATAAGCTTGTATATCTTTACTCGTCATCTGCATTTTCCCAGATGCCTTGGAATGTTTAGTGGTGAACAAGAAAAGCATCACCAGTGGAAGTTCGTAATAATTATGTCTGACCTATAAACATCTGTGCTTAAAGGACTTTGACTCATGCTGTACCAGTGAGAAAAACTACTTCACACAAACAATGGATAAAAAAACCAAATTACACAAGGGTCAGTTTGTGTGTGCCATTGCCAACCAGAAACATTCTGGTATTTCTTTCTTACAAACCTCCGTCCACGCTATAGCATTAAGTATGCAAAAATATAGAAAAAATCTGGAGCACAATTTATATCTCATCCTTGTCATAAGCAGGGCAAAAGAGCCGACATGTGAAATATGCAAATCTCTTCCGTTTGCATAAGTACAATATAAGCAGTTTATGCCCCGAGTCCCGTAATACCAAGTCACATGGACACAGTTACTCTGAAAGGGATGTGACCGGGGGAACACTGAGGAGACACTCTGTTGACGAGCGCTGCAGGATTCACTCACTTCTCACAGCAGACTGTCTACAATCTAATCTCAGCCAGGGAAAAGGCTGAATGACATTATCAGGCACTGAGTGCACGTCGCTTAACCATTCGCTGCTACCGTTAATACGTCCGGAAGAAATAATAGACAAGCCATTTGAGGATTGTCAGCATTATATATGAAGTATATATCTGCATGTACATAATGTGGTGGTAACACCTTAAGTTGATTACTGTTCATAAACGTATCATGACAAATGGGAAAAAAAAACATTTAAGGTGGAATGATTGAAACACTGGTGGCTTGTTATAGGGTCTGAATGTTTCCATTGTCCTTGATGAATGGACAGCGTAATCACGAAGGATGTTAAATGTATTTAATGGTGTTCTATGCGCAGATCATGTAAATGAAGACACACACAAATTGACATTTATGGGAATCCTTATTGGTACAGCTTCCTTTCTGCCCGTACCTTTTATTTCCCCAAAATCCAGAGTCTTTCCCAGCTGTTCCAGAAGGTCAGCGCGAGCAGCATTCTTCTTGTGCTTCTTGCCGTCATAGTGTTGCTGAGCCATGCCGGGGTTGTTGAACCAGGCGTTGCAGAGCTGGCAGTAACGGTCCGAGTCCCTCTGCTGCCGGGGCGAGGTCACGAGTGAAGTGTCACGGGGCGTCTTTACTGGACTGGGTGTCACCTCTAGGGGAACGAAAAGGCACAGAGTCTGAGTTATGATGTCAACCATCTAACTTTAACTACATTTCAAAGAAGACAAAGTCTTGAACAAAATGAATAATATATCATAACTTGTTTATAGAGTAAATCTGAAGCTGTAATAATGAATACACATACTCAACGAAAGAAGCATTTTCCAACTGAAGATCTGAAGAATAAAATATATGCTGCACCTCACATACTGTAAGGGAAAACAGCTTCCAGAGCAAGCAGCCTATTCCCACTGCACTCATGCTAAGGAAACACTCCACGGCTCGGTCCTCCCTAACAGACACAAAGTTTACTGAGGCCCAGTTAAATGTCCTAATCTCCCATTAGTCACTGGCAGGGGAAATGTTTAAGACCATGAGACAGTCAAGGCGGACCAGCAAATTTTTAGTGGAAAACAGCAGCAGAAGGGAGGCTTAGTCTATAGTGCTGTACAGTATTCTCCAGTTTCACTGCTGTCCACCTACATTTATAAAGAAGGGCATTCGCTTCCCCTGAATAACTCTCATACTCTTTCATCATTAGGCAGTAGCTGGAATGGGGAGCTAGAAAGTATTATTATTATGCAAAATCTGCTCCACTTTTACAGTGAAAGTAACCAAAAGAACCTGAGATGTAAATGACAGCAGAAAGTTGCATCTTTCTCCTGTTTAAAACTGCTGAAACAGATTCTTGGAAAATGTTGGAAATGTGTCCAGGAAAGCAGAAGATGCACTGCTCACTGGCGCGATCACAGTAGAAAAAGCACTCAAACATTTTTACTAGATTTAGTGCAAAATATCTCCTTTCTTATATTATGGTGCTTTGTGGTCATGTGTGTGTTCCTGTAGCTCCACTAATACAGCACTGCACTAAAAACACAAAGGTCATGGGTTCAAATCCCAGAGAATGCACATGAATTATAATCCTTCCATCAACTGTAAAACATCTTGAATAAAAATGTCAGATAAATGACTGTAAATATATTTCAGTGAGACAAATATCAGACCCATTCTCAAGAAATATGTAATGGCATGCTGTCCATGAGACGAGACACACTTACAAATGTACTCTAATGATTAAAACAAATGAAATTGCAAAAATGGTTCGGCACAGTGTCATGACCCAATATTAAACAAAAACACGTTTAGCATTCTGTTATACTACATTTATCCAAGTTCAAGTTCATATTCGTTTTGCATTTATAATGGTATGTGATATAACTTAGCTGCACAGCATGACCCTCTAGTAAAATACTCCCATAGCCAAGAAAATGCATCTGACAATTTTAAGCATTTCATTTATTCTCTTTTAATATGATCTTATTTAAAGCATCTGCAAAGAAACAGCACCCAGATTTTTACCCTCAGTTGAAAGTTCTTTAAATCCACTGTAAGGTTCTAATTATCAGAATAAAAGTTTCTGCCACATTTAGCCAATTAGTGCATGTGATAGTCACACACTCTAACTCAACACAATAACGACATTGTAGAGTCTCAGTGTCAAAGAACAGGCACTTAATTCAACTGTCTAATACACAAACCATTTTGAAGGTCATTGTATTCCATACATTATTCATTCTGAGCCGAGCTAAATTGGAAGCTGCACGTGCCTGAAAGCTAGAGACACCTGCGCCCATTATGGCTGACCTAACAACGCAATGTGAAGCACAGTACCTCCTGCATGTGCACAGATTTTACTTCCAATGACAGATGTGCTGTGCAAAGAACTCTGCATAGGGTGCAGAGATAAGTTACTTCCATATATAAGATAACTTATAATAAATGCCAGGTTTCAGTGTTGGTAATATTTTTTACAAGCTAACAATCATGAAAGAAAAATTACATATTGTGGAAACTGTGTGTGCAGCCATCTTCTCCCTCAATGCTGATGCTCACTTAAAAATAAAACATCAGAATAATGTACCCAGACATTATCGAATTAAAAAAAATTCCCTTGACTGAACCATTTCATAGTTTTGATTTTTTTTTTAACCAGGGTATGGAGGCACGCAACAAACCCGATATTCACTGCAATGCTCAACAGCAAGAGATATTTATTCATGATAAATATGTACTAAAAATGCCAATTCAGAATGCACTCACAAAAATAGGATATGCATGTTAGCAGCCTCAGCTGCTTTGGGCTAAGTGAAGAATTACAATTATACACAGCGTTATCATGACTGATTAAAGTCTCCACAGCCAGCGTTGCCAGCACAGCCTCATTTTACTGGACATTAAGTGTCCGGATGTCTTGCCAATACTCTTTTCTGATAAGGGAGAGGCTTATAAGAGCACTGAAAAGCACAAAAGAGAGGGAAAATCACAACCGTGGAAAAGAGATTCTGGATGATTTTATTACATCATGATTACTTCTGAATTATGTTCCAAGAGTAAATATAATCAAATGCAAAAACAGCAGCCCGCTAGCAAATATTCAGAATAAAGACCACCTACATTTTTAATTCAGAATAAAGAGCACCACAAATTGTATGTTCACTTTAAGCAAGCATTCTGTGCATATGACCTTGAAAGAAGTAGAAACTTAGCATAGAATCTTCGGGAATAAGACTCAAAACACTGTTTTATAGAGAACAAAAATACAATGCACTATTGTTAAAGAGCCACCATTTTTTTTTAATTGGTAACACTGGTAAATGTTATATATGAAATTTCAGAATATAGTATGATTATGAAAGAACGTTGGTCTACTCAAGATTTCCAAACAAAAATGTATTCATAAAACACTTCTTTGGTGCAGTACCTACAGTAAGAAACAAAATCATAAGCCTTTGTTCAAATCTAGTACAATCATCCTTTATTTCATGTCAACTTAGTCTTTACGGGCAGAAATGCTGAAGAAAGAAGATGCTGTCATACTGATCAGGCTATTACACCTTTCAGAATAAGCTGCCTACACCACAGCTAGTCTTTGCAAAGCATAAGATGACAAAACCTTGCTCTATAATGGAGGTCATGTTCTTCTACGAATGAAACATAAATGAAATGACTAAGCTGCAAGCTAGAGTGATTTTTATCCATCTAATTTATGAGAACAGCCATACTGTCTCCATCAACAAAGCCAGATTAGTGGACCTTGTTTAAGGACTTACTGCTCTCCATAGCTTAATTTAGAGAGATCAGCAAATCCCTAATTAATATCCTGGTCTTGGCTGAATAAGAGTCATAGACAAAAAGTGGCTGTTTTTTGCCCAGTCATGGAAAACCTATTAAAACTTGGGGCATGTAGATGAAACAAAGTTTTTCATTTTATTCACATCTCGTACAGCATTTGTTGGAATGAAACAGGGAGATTATGGCTTTTCTTTAATCAAGATGGTAGGAGTAGTATAATCAGAAACTCCAGTATACTCAATGCTACATCCTCATACTTAAGCCTAGTCCATACGTCACTTTTCCGTGTTCACTTTCATGCACCTTCAGGCTGGGCTTGGCTGTCTGTGCGGCACATTGTGTTCATACTGCATTTGGCTGTGGATGCAGATGGTCGCGGTTGGTGCATGCGCACAGCAGTGATACTCTAACACGCCTGGGAAGGGCAGATGTATTCTAACAAACTGTATAAGCAGTGTGGTGAAACGGGTAAACTTTTAAGAAGTTTTAACAAGTTATTAATCAAGGCAGTATTACAGTAATAAGGCAACATTTGCCAAGACTGAGTGCTCATCTGTGAAAGTCCACGCTGTCACCTACTTACAAATACCTAATCAATTATCTTGGTCTATTCGCATGGATGCGCAAGGTTTCCGCTAGACATAAAAATCTGGGCTACACACGCACTGACCACAGTCATCTGCGGCCAAACCCTGATGAAGGAATTTACATCACGTCCCTTCCACCGCAACTGAAAATGCATGCAGGAAAGTGAAATTTGAATTGGCCTTTACACTTTGGAAAGTGCTGAGAAGCATTTAAAAAATCACATCTGATAAGCTGAGAAAACAACCAGAATTTAACAATTGTTTTTTTTTTCTCTCCCTTTAGCAAGTTTATTCCACAGAGAAAATAAATTAGGTAGCAGATCTCATGCACGATAACTGCAAAAATGTTTGAAATAATGCTGAGGGAAATTACACTCCCCAAGAAAGGGGGGCCTTCGATGGCCTATTAGTCATAATCAATATAATTTCACCATGGGGTATAATAACTGTCCTGATATAATTACTGCGTCAAAACTGCCATCTAAATAGCTCAGCTGTGGGTCTCAAAATTAAGTAGTACAGTGTTTTACAGCACTTTAATGGAAAAGAAACACAGCCAGATACTCACATTAGCACAGGGTAAAGAGACATTTCCAAGGACTAAATATGTACTATAAAATGTAAACACGGTCAAAAACACACGGACATATGCATTTTCCGATTTATCATTTCACACTAGAAAAACATAATTCAAAGATGGCAGTTTTTAAAATTTAAAATTAATATTTTAATCCAAAAGCAAACCAATTACTGTCGCAAAAACAATCTCATCTAAATCCTTTCAATATGAGCAGTTCTACGACTAATTTGGAATTTACATATCTTTACCTTTAATATATTAGATAAAAAAACCAGTGTTTTTTTTGTCTGACAATATCTTCATAAATATCTAACAAACGAAGTGGAAAGTTGGGGGATTATGCCCCCCATTGCAGTAAAATGCCATTTTAATTTAATTTAATCTGGTTTTGTGGGACTGGGTATTGTTAGAAGATTGTTTTACATTGTACAAGTCACTCCAAACTGAACAGGGGGTGTAGTGGCCTAATGGTTAGGAAAGCATGCTCATGAGGTTGTTGGTTTGAATCCCTCCCAGAAAGGTACGACTGAGGTACCCTGAGTAAGCTACTGCCCCCAAGCACCACTCCCTGGGCTCCTAACCCTAACTACCCACCGCTATGTCATAATAATGCATAAGGGTTAAACCAGGCATCTCCAACTCCAGTCCTGGAGAGCTACTATCCAGTAGGTTTTCTATCCTACCTGGCTTCTG